TAATGTCGCTGGTAAACGCCATGTGCAGGTGAGTAGCCACAGCATGCATGCGGCCAGCCTAGCAGCCTGGAAAGCTGGTAAGTCTGGTGGGGGCGGGGGGAAGCAGAGCAAGGCCCCTGAGATGAGGAAGGGAGTGAGTGGGGCTGGGAGGGGAATGGAGCCATGAGTAGCTCATCCAGAGGGCACAGGGCTACTGCTGCTGCTGCATACACCTCTGGGGGAGCCATGGGGGACATGTGCTCCCCAGATCTATGTATGGGGTGAGGGCAGGCTGTCACAGACTGAGGCCAGGGACAGTACCAGGCTCTTCCCAGCAGGTGGGCTGAGCCAGGGCTGCACTTGGGCTGGGTGACCAGGAAAAGCCTGGCACCACCCCCAGTCCCAGTCTGCAGCCTGCCCTTGCCCCGCACACAGATCTGGGGGACGTATACCCTCCATGCCTCTCCCAAGGGTACGTGTAATGGCAGAAGCGGCCCCCTCTCCAAGTATGAGCCAGAGCAGCTCTGTCCCACACCAGCCCCATTCCCCACCTTACCGCAGGGGCCTCGATCTGCCCAGCCCCCACCCCCCTCAACAGACTTACCAGCCAGACACTGCTCTCCAAGCTGCCAGGTTGCAAATCAGCAATCGGATCGGTATTGCCAATATGGCTTGTAATAATTGGGCATCGGTATCGGCTCAAAATTTTTTTTATTGGTGCACCCCTAATCAGAAGATTTCTCCCACATGCAAAAATTGTTCAAAGAAGAGTTGAGTGGGAGTATAGGGGGAAAAGTGATGCCAGAAGTTTTTAAAAGCTAGTAGCTTAAAGGAAGTCAATTAGGACAGAGCGAGAAGAGACACCCTTTGAAATGAATGGAAGCAGATTCTCTCTTCCTGGAGAAACCCTGTCCATTTTTCTGTCTTCTTCTATGTTTCCAGTTCAGAGAGATACAGTATAGGCTGTAAGATTACTGCACAGCTGAGCTCTAGAAGAACTGCCTGTAAACTGCCCTACAAGTTGTTTGGAAGTAAAGCAGGAGTTAGGCTGTTATATCAGCTGTATGACAAGATAGGAGGTGGCTAATATGGACATGGCAGAGAAACTATTCAAGATCTAAAGCTGAAAGTATGGTCATGAAAGGACAACTCCTCCCTTCAAACCCCCGAACATCTTCTTATCACACAAAATGATTAATTTGGAATAAAGCAACAGTTTGGGTCATTTCATACAGTTACAGACAGACAGTCTCACTGAGTCTGCAGACAAACAATACATCATGACTATAAAATCAACAAAAAGCCACAGATTTTTAAACAAAAGATTAAGTTATCAATGGTTGATGAGTAATCCCCAATTCATAGGAATAAAAACTCTTACAAATGAAAATCACTTCTAAGCAAAGAGAACTCAATCACACCAATGCTCTGTTACTGCCTACTGGTACAATATGACCTAACGGATGTCTTGCCTCCACCACATTTTTGATAGGAGACTCTCAAAAATACTATTGGTCACACACCTTATTTTTGACTTTTTTGATCTCCTGGGTGCTTCATCATCTGCATCAAACAGTGACACATCTTCAGTGTCGTCATTACTGTCCTAGAAGGGCAAATGGATACAAAGTTACAAAAGAGAAAAGCTAACATTTATTTTCAAGTTCCAAAAACCAGCAGGATTTTGCTTAGAAATATTTTAGTGATGCCTTAAGGACAAAGAAATTCAGCAATACTTGGGTACTTAAGAAACAGCAACATAAAAAAGTAGTAATCTGACTTTAAAACTCTCCTTTATCTTGAGTGAACCTCACCTCAAACCTGCCTGCAGGCAGCAGTATAACGCCAGGTATTAACACAAGTACTTTACCCACCCTATATCACACATGCTAAAGTTTTCCTAGCTTTCTACAAAACAGTTATTATGATAGCAAACAAAATCAAGTTCATTCAAGTTGCCATCTCGAGGCTTCCCAGAGAACACTTGGTGAAGGAACAAGAGTCTGCATTCTCGGAAGTCAGGAATTATTTGTTTACAATACCTTCAATAAGGAATATTTGCCTCCCAAAAGACATATTAACATGAATAGGAATCAGTTATCTGTGAAAGGCAATGGAGCAGATAAATTAAACAGGCACATCTTTATATTTATCAAGGCCTTTACAACATTTGTCAGGTATGAGGGGGAATTTTTTTTTGCCTGTATTAAGGCATCATCTTTCTCTAAACCTGGAGAAGTTACAGATCTCTAAATCCAAGTAATATGCATAAAATGCTGCAGCCTGATTTACTATGAGAGATCACATTTTGTCATCATCCTTCCTGGCAATTAAAATAACAGACACCCAGCTAACTGGCAAACTGAATAGCCTTGGCTAGTAGAGATCCACTAAATGTGTATGTTGTTCAAGAGACTGTCGTAGACACGGCATCAAGTAGGTCTCCACATCACCATCCAATGCTGAATGAGGGGCTGGGACAGTGCAACCGCTAATCAGTTGACAGCCTACAGGTCACAAGTTCAAGGCCACAGCATAAGCCCTCACAGCACCGCCTGTCAGATTCCAATGAATCTGCAAATTCAGCTAAATACCTTGCAATCTCTCTTCCATGTCTTTGCAGCAAAAAGCATTCTTTTTCAGAGCAGCAGAACAACTGTACCCCAAGCTTTTTCCCCATTTTGTAACCAAGCACTAAGAGTAGTGAGCAGCATATCAAATTCTTTAAATGTGTTAGCTTCTAGGTTGCTTTTAGCTACTTCGTGTATATGTATAGCATCTACTTTCCTAACCAAGGTAGTATTTTGATGCATCTTCCTGTTCAATTAATGCTGAATGCTGAGCTGACAGTGGGTTCACCAACTCCAGCCAAAAAGAGCTTCACTTAAACCCACAACAGGTTCTCAAGCTGCCGGACACCTCAGTCAGTGAGCGGGGCGGTACCTTTTAGACTAATGAACTGTCAGGAACAAATTCCAAGGGCGACTGGTGCCTCCTGAGTCAAGGAAGGCACTTACCACCACAGAGGGCAGTCAGCAACTGGAGGAGGGTCCCCCTGCAGCTGATGCCACAGACTGGGGGGTGAAGGGGTGGAAGGGGGATCCCCCTATGGCCAATCCCGCCAACCTGCAAATGGCAGCAGCGCACTGCTGGCACTTCCGGGCACAGTTGGCACTTCCGGGTGAGCACGATCGGCCACGGGTGGGGACTGCCTCTCCTTGCACTCCCAGTTGCCAGCTGGCACTCTTGGGGGGGCACCAGCACTCTCGCCTGCCCCCTCTGCCAGGGACCGCCTGCTGTCAGGGATTGCACATGCACCCTCTATGCATCACCACTGACAAATTCCTCTGTGATTTAGTCAGCAAGAATATTTGGAAATAATGACTGGCACTTTAAGTTGAGGACAAGCGGGCTGAAGTGTTTTGTGTACAAGCTGCAAGTACCACAGCAGAGCTTCAGCGCACCAAGGACCAGGACCACAATTGTGAGTTATCCCATGGACAGATTCACCACATCTCACTATAGTTACATCTGAAAGTTAACTTTCAGTAACACCCAGTCTTCATGGGTCGAACCATGAGAACGGCAGCAATATGCTTGAGCCCTAATCTGGGACAATGCACCTCCAGAAGGATCAGTGGGTGCTCAGACGCACGTGCCTGCACAGACCTGGCGCTGGTCCTACGAAAGCTGCATGTCTGCACGCAGTCTGACTAAACGGTTTGGCGTCTTTAACCTGATGGCTTCACGCCTTCCCCAGGAGGTGTCGAGCTCCAGTCAGCGGGGATCTGCGATACGTCAGGGGCCGAAGGGGCACCGAGTACCAGGCACGGGCCCTTCTTGGCATGACCGTGACAACACACGCCGGGCCCCAAAAAACACGTCCCGTCGGGTTTGCAGGACCCGAGGCCACGGATGCGACTTCGTTTCGTTTGTAGCTCTGCGCCGTACCCTCCCCGCGGGTCTCAAACCACCCTGCCCAGGCCCCGTCGCCGCTTCCGCCTCGCCCCTACCTTATAAAG